AGCTTAACATTGTTTATATAGTTGTCTAAGAAACCCTTCTTGTCCTGATTGGAAACTCATCTATCTTCCTATCTTGTAGTAAACAAATATAGACATTGCTTCTGAGGTTGTAATGAAATTTCATTGTGCTCCTGGGCCTTTTTTCTTCGGTACAGTGCAGACTTCTCTCTCAGTGACTCTCATCCTGGGAGTTACATCTATAGAATAGTGGCTCAGGAACACAATTAGGTTGCCATATTAAAAGGAAAGAAAATTAACTTTAAAAAAATGTGTTTTGCCCTGGCTGGTTTGGCTCAGCGGTTAGAGCGTGGGCCTGCGGTCCAGAGACCCGGGTTTGGTTCCCGCTAAGGGCGCGTACCTCGGTTGCAGTTTGTCCCAGGCCCTGGTTGGTTGTGCGGGTGGCAGCCACTCGATGTGTTCCTTTCACGTTGGTGTTTCTTTTTCTCTCTTCCTCCCACTCTATCTGAACAAAAAATGGAAAAAATGTCCTTGGGTGAGGATAAAAAAAAAATGTGTTTATTATTATTATTATTATTGATTTTTAGATAGAGAGGAAGGGAGAAACATCAATAAGAGAGAAACATTGATTGGTTGCCTCCTGCACACCCCCTACTGGGGCATGTGCCCTGACCTGGAATCGAACCGGTGGTGCACAGGTCTATGCTCAATCAAGTGAGCCACACCTGCAGGGCAAGAAAAACTGTTAAACAATATATATTACCAGATTTCAGAACTTGAAATGAGCTTTATAGCAATTGGACCAGTCTCCTTTCTTCAGGAGAACATGGTGGTCAACTAGGACAATGTCCTAGGGCAGCCAGTAAGAGACAGTAAAATATGAATTCATTCACATTTATGTACTATTCTTTGATTCTCCACATTTTTCCAATAAAGATGAGATGGCTTATACAAATAACAAATTAAAATACAAACATACAAAAGGAAAAACAAGGTTATGAAAGAAATTAAGAGTAAGGTGATAAAGCTTATAAACCTGGGAATCGGGTCAGAGTTGGGCTCTGTTTCTTTTTGGTTTAATAACATCCAATAAATCATATAACCTTTCAGTTTCCTCATCTGTAAAATGAGAATTAAAAAAAAAAATTAAATAAGTACATTTAAAACACTTATCCTGATGGCCAGAAATAGTAAATATTCAGTAAATATTAATTTATACCAGTATGTATGGGTTAATATTTTATGGTAAGAATATTAGATTCTGTTCTGAGATTCTTGACATTCATGGTGAAGAGGAAAACTGCAGTTAACATGGAAAACAGAGAAAAAATTCATCCCATAGGGTTCTGGAGTATTGGAGTTTTTTATGACCTTGACTCCAATACTAGATTTGTGAACTTGGACAAGTTATTTAACCTCTCTATTTTAGGTGCTCTTAATTTTACAGGACATGTTTGCTGAATACAGATTTTTGGGAATTGCCTTTGTCCCTCAACAGTATCCTACTGACTTGTTCATAACTATAGTTCATGTTCATTGATGTATAACATTCCATTGTATGATTATACCATAATTTATACATTGTCCTGTTGATGGATATTTATGTTGTTCCTGGGGCTTTTGTTAGTGTAAATGACAGTGCTATAAAAATTTCGGTGTATTTTATGTACGTTAACTTATTCAATACTGTAAAATAAGCACTATTTCCCCCACTTTACAAAAGGGAAAACTGAGGCGTAGAGTTAAATAACTTATCCAAGTTCACACAAGTAATTTGTAGTGGAACAGGGATTCCAATACAGACAAATCCCACTATGCATCATTCTATTATAAAAATTGCAGAACCCTTCAACCCACCTCTGCTCAGACGCGGGTGCCAGGCCTTATTCACTTAGAAAACAGACATCCAACAATCTCAATTATGGTACTTCAAAATTTAAAAAATGAGAATTGCAAAGTAATTATTGAATTTAGAGACAGTCCCTCCTTTACTCTCTAATTCCAGGGATGCTGTTAACCCAAATCTTTCTGACTTTTGTCCATTTTCTTGCAACAGATTCTAATGAATAATATGCATTTTCATAATGCTCAATACTTTCTAAAAGTGTTTCACATGGATTAATTTTCACATACCCAAACTATTGGCCTACTAGGTATCTGGCCCAGGTCAGATACTCATCATCTTTTCCACTGAATTATAAGCAGATTTATTTTCCAATTACATTCTGTCTAAAAATGAAATTTATTTCAAGATCCCCATGAGATATGATCTTAAGAAATACGTGAGCCCCCGTTTACTCCAGTCTGGAGCTATGCCACTTTTTCATATTTCTTAGGCATAGCAGCTGAGAATTGGAAGACACAACAATAACCAAGTCAGTTTAGAGTAAGTTTCCCAAATCAACATGGTCACTTACTTGGACGTTAGTAGTCATATCTTCTTGTGATGCCATGTTGTGACACAAGGTCCTATGGCCTATTTCTAACTTCACTTTGGTAGGCTTCCCTTCTTTCTACTCACTTGGTCAGTTGCAGAGAATTCTGATGTAAAATAAATATTTGCTTTCAGTAGGCAATTATATTGTATTATACTGTCAAGAAAGATATGTTACTGAGGTTGTTTTTATAATTAGATAAGTGACTTAAAAAATATTGCTATACATAGGCAATCAGAGGTAATAATAAACCTTTGTTTCCTTCCTATAGATAGGTATGTTCTGAGTATTCTAAGCACACACTAAGGATTCTAACCAACACTCAAGCACATATTCAACATATAGCTATGGTTTATATTTTAGTTATTATGTTTATCTTATAAACAATAAAATCCAGTTATTATTTCAAATGTGAAGTGTTTAGATTTAGTAATGATTACAAGTAATGAAAAACACCCATGAATTAAAATACAGTATTTTATTTTTTTCTCACCTAAAAAACAAGCAACCCAGAATTAAGATATACATAAACTTCTCAAATTTATCCCTAATAAAATTTTGAATATTTATACAATTTCTACAGAAACATACAGTGTATCAAAATCTGCACAAATCAAATTTATAAAATGTGTAGAAATGCATAGTGATATTATCAACTTACAAAGCAAGGATATGGGAATTATTTCCAAAGCAACCTACAGTAGAAAATTGTCATTATGGCAGCAGCTTCTGATGTTTTCTTTGTGTTTGGTAAGGTTTCTGATTTCAACATAGAGAATCATTTTCATAGAGTATCTTAAGGAATTGCACAAAATACCCATTTAAAATTTACATGCACAGTTTATGTGCCACCTTTCTTAGGCCTATGCATAGTTAACAAGGTTATAATCTATTTAACAAGAAAAATGGAGCCTATTTGCAAACACACAAATAATTAAAGTACCAATTCTCTTACCTTTTTTTATAGTTGATTTATTTTGCAATTATATAATCATATAAATGTATTCCTTTTTAAACATCTCTAGAGATGAATGGAAGTTAAAATGGTTGATCATAGATCAGTAGCAAAATACAAATAGACAATTCAAAATTATAAATAAAACTCTGTTTAGGATGTTTGACTCTCCAAATTTAAGGACTAAATTTGGAAGAAACAGATTTGTAGGCTTTTAAACAAATGTAGGGTTTTTTTTGTTTTTTGTTTTTTAAGCTTTAATTAAAAATATTTCCTTCTGGCAGTAGTTTGTGAATTCCTTTCATTGTAATGACATCATGATTACAGGATCAAAAATGCTTAATTTACTTACCATTCCCCATCTCATGTTATTTACCCCCCAACTTAATGTAGCATTTTAATATTTTGAGTAGTAAAAGACTATTATTTAGAAATGAAAATCTTATTGACCATTTGCAATATTTGGTTTTCCTATACTGTCTTAATAAATGTTTAAATCCAAACAAGTCTTCTTTTCACTGGAAAAATATGAATAGAAATATACTTCCTAAAAAAGAAAAGGAAAAAGAAAACAAACACTAGAGAACTAACACCTAATTGAACAGAAAGGAGTTCATATTTGTAAATAAACTGTGTTTTTAAATATCCTTTTTTTTTTTTTTTTATAATTTAAAAAATGTGCAGGGAATTTCATTCGGATGAAGATACAAATGAAACATCCACTCACTCTTGACTTGAAAGGTTGCACAGCTTAGGTTATAATGCACAGGAGCTTTGTAAGGCTTAACCTAACAAGGGCTCAGAAATTCTTCCCTCAGTCATAATGAACCTTTGATGTGTTTGTTTACAGAGGTGTTTTGTTTTTATTACTCCCATTTCAAGGTTTCAAACTGAGAATATTTATAGTTTTCTATAATGACAGGTATTGGGGGAAAGTAAATTCTAAAAGTCACTGGACAGTTTTTCTCTAGTTGGTAGGCCCTTGTGCTCTCTTCGGAATTGGTATTATTTAGAGGGCAGTGAGAATGCCAGCAAGTAAGGGGATTACATGCCATACAGTCTTCAATCCCTGTGGAAGGGCCTTGGGATGTTCATATTGTGGTTTTTTTTTTTCAAACCATACAACATTTGATTTCAGAGCAAATGGTTAGCACATATATTCATTTCTGAGTAGTAAAAGTATTCATCATACCGGTGACAATTCCATCATTACCATCCTATACATTTCACCGAAAGCTCTTGAAGTATATACTGAGAAATGAAAGAGGCACTAAATGTGTTGAAATTCACCTTTCAAAAAAGCAGCATGACTGTGAAGGAAGGCCACCTTGGCTAATAACCTGTGGCAGTGCTTCAAAAAGATGTAAAATTAAATAAAGACACAACAGGTTGATAATCACCAAGTTATATATGAAAGTCTGGTTACTCCAACCTTTTTTCAAGTGTGTTAAAAAAAAAAAAATATCAAACTGCCTTTCAGACCCCTGAGTGTAATCCCAAAGAAGACAACAATGCTTTAACTCTGTTCTAAATAGAGCTAAATGCACAAATTACCAACATCATCTTAAAACAAAACAAAAGATGTAAACATCTACAAAGTTTAAGGTAAAAGCAGTTTTGTAAACAGTAACTGCAGATGATAATGTTATTGTAAAATCACAGTTTATCAATGTCCTTCGAACTGATCAGGAGGTTCTGGGTTTGGAGCTGTACAGAATTAATAATAGTTGCAGCAGGTTTCAGGCGGTTTTCAGTCCTGGGGAAATTTACTTGTCAGTAGGTAGGTTATTGGGTTTTTTTTATTCTTTCTAAACACTGTGGATGTTATTAATTTCCCACTTCTGAGTCATTTTACTGGAGTCACAATGGGAGAGGAACACTTGATGTAGGACATCGGAGCGGTCTAAGCACTTTCCAGAAGGTATGTGAGTAAATCTGTGCAGGTTCTAGAAAACAGAGGAAAAAGAAGTTTTAAATTAGCACTTTTTGATGTCACTGACATTAGAGGAGGTTGTTATTTGGCTTTCAAAGGAAGTTAATTCAAATCAGTAGGTTATCTTTTTGTTCTGTTGATGGTTTCCTTTGTTGTGAAAAAACTTTAGTTTGGTGTGGCCCATTTGTTTATTTTTTCTTTTGTTTCTCTTGCCGGAGGAGACATATCCAAATAAATATTGCTAGTAGCATCCCAGAGAGTTTAGTGCCTATGTTTTCTTCTAGGAGTTTTATGGTTTTGGGTCTTATAATCTATTTTGAGTTTATTCTTATATATGGTGTAAGAAAGTGATCTAGTTTAATTTTTTGCAGGTACCTGTCCAGTTTTCCCAACACTGTTCATTGAAGAGATGTCCTTACCCCACTTTATATTCTTGTCTCCTTTGTCATAGATTAACCAAATAGTTGTGAATATATTTCTGGTCTCTCTATTCTGTTCCGTTCTTTTCCCCTCCCTTCTCTCCCTCCCTCCCTCCAGTAGAGCAGTCACTGAGGTACATTCGAAAGGTCTCTGGTATACACCCTTTCCCATCCCCAATGCACAAGCCTAGTTTAGCCCTCATCATCTGTTGTCGGTTTCTTCACATAGTTCAGGGCTTCTCAGAGGGTGGTCCTCAGACTATAAAGATTTTGTCTGTAAAGTCAAAACTATTTTTATAATAACACAAAGACTCCATTTGCCTTTTTCCCTGTATTGACATTTATTATGATGACACAAAAGCGACCATGCATAAAAGTGCTGGCCCCTCAGCGTAAATTAAGCAGTGACACAAAACTGCTCATAGTCACATTCTTCATGACCACACTCAGTTAAAAAATAAAATGCCGGTTTCACTTAAGAAGGTGCCTGATGAAGCAGTAAAACTTATTAGTTTTATTAAATCTTAACCCTTTAGTCCTGGCTGGTGTGGCTCTGTTGGCTGGGTGTCATCCAGTGCACCCAAAGGTTGCCAGTTTGATTCCTGATTCCTGGTTGATATTTCTCTCTCTCTCCCTCTCCCTCTACAAATCCCTAAAATTATTTTAAAAAATTAAATCTTGACCCTCGAGTATACTTTTAAAAACATTCTGTGATGAAATGGGAAACAGGCATAAAGTACCATGGGTAGCTTGAGGGAAAACACATGTACAATAGTTTGACTTGAGAGTTGAACTGGCTGCTTTTTTCATGGCAAGTCATTTTGACTTGAAAGGTCAACTCACAGAAAAACTATGATTATTCAAACTTGGGACTTTGTAGACATCTTCTTGAAAAGGAAGTGAGCCCGTCCCTTTAAGAAAAAAACAAACCAAAACAAAACACATAAAACTGTCCCCCCAATCTGACAGTATTTGTTGCCACTGATCCAATTCGAGTTTTCAAGCACAAATTAAGAATTTTTAAAAACTTGTATTCACCACCATGAACTTGATAGCTTCCTAATACTTATATTTTTTGACATTGAATAATGAAATGTGTCAACATTTGGAAGATCATAACTAAGCGAACCAGTATTTTCTAAATGAGCAATGCATGATGTTACAAAAGCTGACGTGGGTAAAAAATCCATTCAAAGTGTAAGAAAGACCAATGGACTTTAATGTAACAGGACAGAATGTTCACTTATATGATTTCAGATTCTATACTGCAAATAACTTTTGTTTTAAAAATGTGTTTTCATTGATTTTTTAGAGAGGAAGGGAGAGAGAGAGAGAGAAACATCCGATGTGAGAGCGAAGCATCAATCAGCTGCTTCCTGCACGCCCCACACTGGGGATCGAGCCTGCAACCCAGGCATGTGCCCTGACCAGAATTGAACTGGGACCTCTCAATCCATGGGACGATGTTCAACCCACTGAGCCACACTGGCCAGGCTGCAAATATTTAGGAAACTACCACTTATCGACTTGGGCAGCATTGAAGAATCGCCACAATTATCTGAAAAGGCTATTAAGCCCTGGCCGGTTTGGCTCAGCGGTTAGAACGTCAGCCTGCAGTCCTCTAGAGAGACCCAGGTTCTGTTCTCGCTAAGGGTACGTACCTCGGTTGCAGTTTGTCCCTGGCCCTTGTTGGTCGTGCGGGTGGCAGCCACTTGATGTGTCCCTTTCACGTTGATGTTTCTCTCTCTCTCTCTTTCTTCCTCTCTTTCCCTCCCACTCTGTCTGAACAAAAAATGGAAAAAACTGTCCTCGGGTGAAAAGGCTATTAAATTATTTCTCTCTTTTCTAATTGCATGTTTATGTGAGGCTGGATTTTCCTCATATACTTCAATGAAAACAACATATTTCAAATTGAATGCAGAAGCAGCATGAGACTTCAACTGCCTTCTATTAAACCAGACATTAAAGGGATTTGCAAAACTATAAAACAATGCCATTCTTCTCACTTTTTTATTGGAAAATAGTTATTATTCATTAAAAGTATTATTTATATTAACATGCATTAGGGCTACTATTAGTTTTACATAAATTATAAATTAATACATAAATACTTGTAAAATTTCTCAGATTTAATTCCCAATTTAGAATATATTATTAGCTATAATCTAAATAAACAAAATCTGTCTGAGGACATTTTTAATCATTTTTAAGAGTGTAAATGGAACCCAGAGATTGGAGAGTTTGAGAACTCCTGATGAAGCTTATCAGTTCACAATGTTTCCAGAATTATTTTCTGAAAAGTATCCATTGTTTCCTATCACTGCAGTCCTCAATGTCACTGCTCTCCAAAACTTACAAAATGAAGTTCAATTTCTTTCATCTGAAGGACAATTTAGGGATATCAAACTAAATGTGATTCCCAGAATTATTTTCTACACACTTTCATGCCATGCCTTTGCTTACTCATTTCTCTTGTTTATCCTCCATGAAAAGTCTTTCTATACCTCAATGATACTGGTACAATGATACTTCCTCTATAAACTCATCAGAAATAATTCCTCTTACTAATCTCTCTTCTGCTGTCCTATGGCATGTGCTTATTTTAATTCCTGCATTTTTTTTTCTTCTCTCTTCTCTACTATTGTAGTATAATGTACTTTAGCTGTTTTTTGAAGTCATTAATCATCTGGCCCCAGTATACAAGGGTGGGCAAAAGTAGGTTTAAATATCTACTTTTGTTGGTCATTGGTTAAATCACCAACCATCATTACCTAAAAGATAAGTCATAAGTAAGGATACAAAACAAAACACAAACAATAATACAGATAATACAGTAATAAATAAATAATAATACAAAAATAAACTCTGTTTCAGGTACTCACAACTGTAAGTCTACTTCTGCCTACCCTTGTATATTTAGTAATGTCTGATTAAAATATGTACATTCCATTTTTTATCTATAACTTCTCAACGGTAATTTCTGGTCTCTTAGCCTTCTTTTTACTATTTACTAATACTGTTCTCACTGACTGCTGTCACTTATTGCTATTCATTTCTTTGTGGAAATAAATACTCTGTTCTTCAGGATTTATGCTGATTTTCTCCTTCCTAACTTGTTATTAAAAACAAAAAATCAGCAACTGACACATACTCACCACTTCATAGTAATTATCTATGAATGATGATGACTGAGAATATTAAGCTGGGTCATAATAACATACACAGCAAACAAGCGCTTGCATAATAGGGTATGATAACAAATATGAGATGAGTAAATAAAGTTGAGGGTTGTCAGGTTCTTTCAGTTTGGGGCAGCTTTTTATATCTTACAATAAATTTATTTTAGCCAAGTTCATACTTTGAAAATTATACATAAATCCATCAATATGTTGGAATCCTCAACTTGGCACAGACCTCTAAATTTTCACAGCTAAAATTGAAAAACTGTTCTCCTCCATAGAGCCAGCTAAATAACTAAATATGACCTTTAAAACATGAAACAGTCAACATTTATCTATTGTATTTAGCAAACAACAATGATGAAGTTGTGAAGGCCTCGATTTCCAAGTGTTATTTGTCTGTCTCTGACGCCATCTGCTGGACATCATGAAATATAAACACTTTTTTATGTTGTATGTATTCCCACGGAACACTGATTTTCCCAGGTTATTGAAATTAGTGGGTCTTCGTGGACATCTTATGACCTCATTACATGATAATATTGCACCAGAGAATAAAAGTAATGATTCATTATGGAACAATGGAGTCAACAGTGCTCAGGAAAACAAATGGCTAAATGAGAAGGAAATTTGAATGCAGGTTATAAGATGTATACATCTAAATTCCACATGGTAGGTATTATTGAATTGAAATAGCATAATTATTATTTCAAAAGTTGAATACCTTGAAGTACTGCCATTCCTTAAATTCATTTAGATTACAATGTGTAATCATAATTTTTGCTCCATCAGGCCCGGTTGTCAAACATTGGTCATATTGCATGAGTTGATTAGCTTCGTTGATTCGGAAAAGCTATTTAAAAAAAGAAATAAAAAAATAACGGGCACTCTCTGCTGATATACAAAAACAAATGAACCCAATGATTATCTTATTTTTCTACAAATATTTTGTATGTTCAGAACTATAAATCCAAAGACAGGAATTATATTCATTCTTATGTTAGCAAAAACCTCTATTAACACTTGAAGGATTATGTTCTTTAGCCACTTAGATACAGAATGGGTCATTAACACATAGTTTTATCATTTACCAGCAATGTGAGAAAATAAAAGTGAAAACAGACCTGATGTTTTACAATCTGAGGCAAGAAATATACATGAGGAGTATGAAAATATATTAGTGAAATATACATTACTGGCAGTAACATTCCAGTTTATTGGGAGGAAGTGTGGAATTGTAAATATTTGCAAATAACATTGTTAGGGAGCTAGGCTTACATAGCTTTGACGCACATCCGAATATTCTAATCATATATTAGACATAAATTATACATTCATTCTGATTGCTTATGTGAAAAGCAGTATTGCTATTATACCCTCATTTAACTAAAAGTTTTAGTATTGTCAGTTTTTTACAGAATATTTTATTTTACCAAACAAACAAAATTACTAAAGTGAAAACCAAAGGAAACACATGATCAATAAACTTGGTAGCTCTCACTGCAGGACCAATTTAAATACCAAAAGAGGTCATTTACCTGGTTCCCTCCCATCCGGTGGCAGGGTCCTAGTTCAACAAAGCCTCCATTTGTCTTTCCCATGCTATCAATGCAGTAAGCAGTTTCAAAGCCTCTGATCTAAAAAAAAAAAAAAAAAAAATGAACAAAGAACCAAAAAGCAGGCAACCCTTTAGTTTTTCTGAAGCACTAACAGCAGAGTAAAAGAGTTCCACCTTAAATACTGCCATTCACAGTGGAAGTCTGGGTTTGTGTAATGCCAGGTTATTACTGTGCTGTCGGTCTTGGAGCAGTTTAGAGCATAGTAGTCATCTCTGAAATAATGTATAGTCTTTAAATCAACATTGGAATGGCCTCATTCTAACAAAGGGTATCAGCCTATAGATTTTGATAAAATACCACAGAAGAAAAAAATGAAAAGATACTATTAATACAATCTCAAATTCGTGATAATTCATCTGCATGAAAAGCAAGTAGAGTTAACCAACCACAGTGGTCACAGACATGGGCCCTAGATGTCTAGACCAGAACTAAATTTTGTAAGGTAACGCTCTCAAATGGCTATGTGACACTCTTGGTAGCCCCCTGTGAGCTGGGGGCGAAAGACATGGCAACTGGACCAGGCAGTGACTTTTCTCTGACTATGGATAATGCAGATAAAAAGCCAACACAGGTTTCCATCTTTGGAATACACATTTTGTATATATTATATATCTCAATGATAAATTACCACAGTATTTGGATAAAATGTTTTATTCATTCAGTCAATATATACTGACTGAGCACCTGTGACCATGTAAGAGCTTTAGAAGACACAAAGAGAAGCAAGTCATGGTCCTCAGGACCCTCGTGTCTGCAGGAAGGCTGAGGGCAGGCGTCAGTCAGGTCGGAGGGATGAACATGCGGAGGAAGGAGCCTCTCCCGGCTACCTGGAGGAACTCTGGAGGAGCTGGTGGGCTTTAGCCCGGACTGTGCAGGGAAGGCTGAGAAGTGAAGTGGAAGGTGCTGGGGCCAGAATGGGCAGAGGTTAAACTGAAGATGTATTCAGAGTGAGATTGTAAAGGGCGGACAGAAAATTCATCTATTTATTCCCTTACGCATTTATTTACTTATCCAATATGAAGTGTGTACTGTGTTAGGTGTGTTGTTGGCTCTGGTACACCCATGGACAAAACAGATGAAGATCCTTGCCCCAGCAAGCTTATATCCTAGGGAAGGAATGACAGAATATAAGCCAAGATCATAATAGACACATTAGACAGTGATCGATGCCGTGGAACAGAAAAGAAAAAGAGCAAGTTGGGGGGGGGGTGGCTAGGAGTGTTTGGGGGCTAGCAGGGTGGATCTCACTGAGGTGACAGGTGAGCAGACTTGAGGTACATGCACAAGTTAGTCACACGTGCAGAGGGAAAGCAGTCCAGGCAGAGGGGCAGCTGAAGCTCCCGCAGTAAGGAGAGTCGTAGCAGGTGAGGCCAGAGAGGAACTGGCCGACATGCATGCCCTGCAGACCACTAGAAAGTACTCTGCCTTCCCTCGGAGGGTCAGGGGTTGTCACTGCAGGTTTCCAACAGAGAGTGACAGGATCACTTTACAAAGAGCACTCTGACTGCTATGTTTAGAACAGGACGTAGGAAGGCAAAGTTAGTCTCAGTGAGATGTGGTGGCTTAGACCAGAGTAAGAAAGGATCGGGTTCTAGGGCTAGATGTAAAGTGAGAGAGAAGGAAAGGATTAAAAAAAAAAAAAAGACTCCAAAGCTTTGGCCTGAGCAATCAGCAAAGATAGGCTGGGGAGGGAGGACAGGGAGGTCAATGTTGGATACACTGAGTTTGAAATACCTGTGAGAGTGGAGAGGTCAAGCAGGCCGCTGGATATACCAGGAGAGAGATATAGGTTTAAGACAGAAACTGGAGTCACCAGCCTGGAGATGGTTTTAAAGCCATGAGACTGGTCCAAATCACCAAGAGAACTCCTTCCTTTGACACAGAAGGCACTATACTAATGAGGTGTTCTCAGAGATGACAAGATAAGCACAATGGAATCTGAACTGCCAGGGTCAGGTTGGAAGTTAAGCACAATTTGCTGGAAGAGCACAGGGCTGAAGTGAGCGCACAGGATAGAGGCACTGAAACTGGAGGTGCAGAGAGAGCAGCACGGAGCCCTTGGCTGGCCCCCATTCCCAAACCTGACATGTCGGAGTCCCTGAGGATCCTGTCTTCTTTGTTCTGTCTGTTTTCTCATTCAGTCCCACAAAGCAATCCACTTGCTGATGGCTCAGAACACACCCCCGTAGATGTGCCTTTGGGCTCTGTTCTGGGTTTTAGTATTGCTCAGCTTAAGATCTACTTGACACCTCCACTGGGGCCAACTCCAGAACACCAACAGAGATCTTACTATCCCAACCCCTCTCACTCATCCTGCTCCCAGCTTCCTACCTCAGACGCCACCTCATCCACCACTCAAGTGATAAAACAGAGCTAGACGCCATCCTGGCCCATATCCTTCACATACGAATCCATCAGTGACTGACCTCCAGACTTTAACTTCTTACGCTTCTCTCCACCTCTGTCCTCAGCACCCTGGCCCAAGCTGCCACTTCTCACGGGAAGTACCCTACTGACTGCCTAAATCATCACCCTTGTTTCTGCCAAATCCTCACAGCAGGGTGACAAAAAACAAAAGCATAAATCAAACCGTGTTAGCTTTCTGTTGAAACCCTGGCATGGCTTCCCAACACCCTTAGGGTACAAGGCCTCTCTCTCACCTGCCTGCCACTTCGCCTTATTTGATTTGCTCTTTTCTGCTTATCAAATACGCAAAGCATTTCCTGACGCAGCGCCTTCAGACTCACCATTTTCTTTTCCTGGAATATTTCCTAGCTCTCTGATTTCTGATCGCAGATTGGATATCACCTCCTCAGAGGAGCCTTCCCTACCCTGTCCCTATGGCCTCTTGAATGTCACCTGCTTATTTCCTCTATAGCCCTTACCACCATCTGTCATTATCTTCTTTGGTTTCCCTGTTGTTTTGGTTTGTTTGTTGCTGTTGTTGTTTTGGTCTCTCATCCACTAGCATGCAAGCTCCCCAAGGAAAAGGACCTTATTTGTCTTGTTTTCTGTCTGGAAGAGTAACTGGCACATGGTAGGTCCTCAGCCAACATTTATTGGATACATAATTAAGCAAAAGCACACAGACGTGGAAGTTTATGGCATGTTTAATACAGCTACGAGGCAGCACCCTCAAGGTGGGTGAATCAGAAATGCAGTCACCTACAAAGGCAAGTTTGAAGAAACAAAGAAATGACAACACAGATCAGTGCCTTTGATTTTAATTATTTTCAGTTATCATTAGTTCATTCATTTCCTTGACAAGCTTTTTAAGTGCCTGTTGTACATGGGCGTCTGCCTTAGTTCACGGGGGCACAGTGGTAAATGGGCACTTCCAGACTGGCAGAGAGAGGCAATGTTGAGTGTTATGAGAATTCATGGAAAAACCACAGGACTGAGTCTGTCTGATGGAGTGGGCAAGAACAGGAAAAACTTTTCACAACTGGTGATCTCTATATTGAGAGCAGTAGGATACGTTGAAATTCGCTAAGAAAGGGAGTCAGACTGAGGGTAACGGAGTGGCGGAAGCAGGAGAGAGTGGACCGTGTTCCAGACGAGAGCCCAATGCGCAAAGGCCGAGAGGAGGACCCAGGCTGGCCAGGGTAGTTGTAACTGCCTGGTGGAAAGGTGGGGGAGGTACCAGGCAGTTTTCACCCAAATTTTCCCCCAAGAATTCTTCTCCTTCATACATTTTCATCTCTCTCTGCATTCTCCCAAACTCAGTCTCCAAACACACACATATACTTTGAGATCTGAATATCACTGATACTTACTTCTCCCCAGTCAACATTTTTGGGTGGCAAAGGGTAATGTGAGGTGATATCATATGCGATTTCTTCCATGAACCATTTGAAACTTCTGCAGTTGTGATCTTCTCGAAATTTTTTCAGCTCTGAGATATCCCCATACGCTAATGCCTTTGATTCAGGACGGCTAGCATAGAAGTAATCTTTATACTCATCCCACCAAACCTCTACAACTCTGACATAATTCTGTGGGAAAACAAAATTAATATCATGACGATTAAAAATGTTTGTGATGTCATAAACAGCTTATCTTAGACAAATGAAATATGACCAACATACAACAAACTTAAGACCTACTATTTAATTAAGCAACAAATGCAACTGAACTAATGACTGTAATGTGTCAACTGCCAAGGATAAAATTATCATCCATGTTCAACTAAAAAGAGATGGACAGAGACTCTTAGCTGCAAGGGCATATCTATGCTAAGATAATATATTCTATCCTGCTTTGAAAGGAAGAAATTGCTGCCTAGAGAGGGTTTGTGAGAAGCAGCCTGGATGCTGGTGCTCCTCCCAGAATTGTCTCCATACTATTAGCACATGTAGGGAAAAATCATGAAAAACAACAGCTCTATTCAATAAAATACATCTTTATAAGTGGCTTTGTTGGTCCTCTTACAACTGTAATAGGACCACTTGACCATAACCCAGAATTAACTGGGTATTTCTCCCAGTTGGTGCACTGTAAGAAGAAGCAACTAAGGAACAGTAAAATCAGTTGACATTGTGACAATCGACAAAGAACTTCTAAGGTTTCACTGAATGCTGCATGTCGGCCTGAATATATGTGACAGGTTTAGTACATACTCAATCTAGCCCCTTGGTCTTCCCTATAATGTATCAGCAAACTGTCGATAAAGGGCCAGAGAGTAAGCATTTTTGGCTTAGTGGGCCACAGCTTCTGTTGCAATACTCAACTCTGCTGAGAAAGTAGCCACAGACAATGTATAAACAAATGCTCCAATATACCTCACTTATTGAAAAGGGTTGGATCTGGCCCATCTGCTATAGCAGCTGACCCCTGTGTTCCAGCAGGAGTAGGAAAACCTAGAACTCCTATTACACTGGTTCTAGAATACAAGGTCACTACCAAAGGGTGAACACGCTCTTCTTACAGGCATGTTGTTGCAAAAGCCAGTGGATTCAACAAAGTTTTAAGTAGCAGTATCCTAAAAAAGCACGTGATATTGGAGTGAAATCTTTTGAATCCTTGCAAATCCATCCGAAATTAGACACAGTCATGTCTTCTAAATATTAATGAATATGAAGAATTAAGTGCACACACATAGGGTTATAGCAACAAGAAGGAACACTGGTTTGGGGTGGAGAAGGCCAGAGGGGCACCATGGAGGGATGCTGGATGGCTCATTCCTGAAAGAGTGGTTAATTAAGTGGGAAGCATTGAGGGCAAAAAGAAATGCAAATGATGTATGAGGAATCATGGTGCATTTGAAGGCCTCCCAGTAGTTCACCGTAAGTGGAATGCAGGATTCAGAGAGAAAACTTGCCTTGCTTTCCTCATTTTAATATAAGAATAATCATAGTCTTTCTTTAAGAGTGTGTTGTGAGAATAAAAAATTAATCTATGGAAAGCATAAAGAGTTGTGTCTGATACCTAGTAAGCAATAAAAAAGTGTTAGCTATTATTAATATTATTGTTATTTTTTATGGACTTTGAGTTTTATCCTTTAAAGGAGAATCACCTAAAAGGTTTTAAGCAGGTAACAGACATCAGATTTAATTTTCAAGGGAATAACACTGGTGGTGAGTGGAGGGTGAACTGAAGGACCTTGAAGCTGATGGTAGAGTGGGAGGCTGTTTAATATCCCTGGGAGAGATTCAAAGACCTGTACTAAGCAGAGAACGGAATGGATTTAAGAGACATGTATGAGGTGGAACCATCAGGGCTTGGTAGGTTGAGGGGTGAGCTGGCCAATCCTAACATGCCCCCTGAGTTTCATTCAGGGGTAAAGAGAGAAGACAGGAAAATGAATTGCTTTTGAGGAAAAGTTTAAAAGTTTGACCATGCTGAGTTTGAGGTATCTAAGAGGATAATTCTGGAACACAATTGACTACAAAGGTCTGACTCTCAGAGAAGACCAACGGGCTGGATACATCCATTGGCACCCTGGTGGCTGAAGTGCATGGAGCCTCAACTGGAGAAAAGAAAGTGTCTGGCCCATTCGGGGCCCTCACGAAGAGTATGCCGAACATGACATTTATTGGGTAGTTTTATGAGGTCTACATTTAAGTTTTTGAGTGGGCAAGTATTTCCCTCTCATCTCTTTTCCTTTTCCTTGCAGCACAGACCTTCTGGACTCAATCTGACTTTTCATGATTCTTTGTGATTGTAGTCCGACTGAAAAACAAGGGCAAGTTCTTTCCCTGCATTTCCTGTCAGAGCAGTCGGGCCAGGAGCTAGTCTGGTGCTACCTTTGTTTCATTGTGGATAGTTTCATCTCACCCCTGTTGTAGCTGGGGCTCTATTTCACCGTAATCTGGCCAGTTAGAAAGCTCTGTGTTGGTTCCTAAAGCCTAGCTATCTCTGCTTCCATTATCTATTCCTCTTTGGGGGTCTGTCCCAAGTTGTATCTGCAGCCAATACTGATCTTCCTCCTGCTCTTGACCTGGTTAAGGACTCCAGAGAGTGAAGGGCATCAGAGTTATAGGCTCTCAGAACGTATGACGGCAGCCCAGCCAAAGACACAAGTTACGCTGTCAAGGGCAGAGCCGTTGTCCTCCCAGCAGAGGAACACTTGGCCTCTGTATGAAGCTTCCCTGGTCTGTCCCTGCTCTGAGGGACAAAAGACATTAATCTTTTGCAAGCACTACTCAAAATTTAATTTTGTTGACTAAAAACACTCCTAATAAAATTAATTTTAAAAAATCAAACAAAACCCACCAGCCACCACAGTGCACTTTGGATAGATGTCTGTAGCACATGTTGCTGTGAGATCAGGCCTCATGGGATATGGCTGTTTGTCATTTTGATGTATTTAATATGTACATATATAATACTTTACTCTTTTGTGACTATAGAAGTTGGTATTTTCCTTTCCACTACTTTCCTACAGTGTCGGTCCTTTTTGAATGCAATTGTGATGTCTTTATGGAGGACATTCAATATAGTCATCTTAATCTGAATGGGATGCAATGAATAGTCTCAAAGAACAATAAGATGTTTCACGTATAAGTCTAGTCTGGGGTAAAAGTGAGGACCTGTGTGGTTGCTTAGAGATTTTCCCCTTCAGTGAACTGACATTTACTTGACTACCACAGCAAGCGGTACATAAATGTTAGTTCCCCAGCCTTCTCCGCTTTCAACCAAAAGACTTACCTTCAGAGTCGGAGAAGACCCAACGTAAATGGGCGGAGGATTACCTTGCCAGCCCTCGAGACGGTAGATATGTCCCACACGCGAACAGGGGACAAACAGTAATTTGCCGCCACACTGCCATATCTATCCAGGAAAAACACATGGACGCTGTTACAAATGCCAAAATAAATTATAGCTGGAAAGTTTTCTAGTAACTGTAAATATGAAATCTTAATTAGATACACAGCGTCCACAGGGAATTTGTAAACTAAACAAATCTTAAAATAACTTGCTTGTTTTCCAAACTCATAATAACAAAGGAGGCAGTAGGGAAATCAGTAATGTATTGCTGCTCAGGGGCCTCCTCCTATGTACTTGTAGCTCCAAGCAAACTTCTCGCAATGTAACCTTGCCAAACCATGCAGATGCTCCATTCCTAACACCATTCGTCATTTCCATTGCTAATATATTCCCCACCTGCGTGATTATTATAATACTCTCCTGTCTGGCTTCTTCACCTCTGGCTTCTCTTCCTCCATGCTATCCTTATTTATAGCAAGGGATTTTTTTCTTAGCTGAAGGGCAGCTTTGGGTCATGTTATTCCCTTACTTAATATCTTTGATGGGTTTCCGTTGCTTATCAAATTAAGTAAAAATCTCTTAGCTCAGCATGAAAGGCTCTTTTCAGTATGGTCCTAATATACCTGTCCACTTTATCTTCTTGGATGTCTGTCTTATTCATGCTGTCAGATTCTGCTAAACTGTGCTCCTCACTGTTTCCTGAATGCATTCTTTAAATTTCACCTTTGTACCTTTCCCCGTTCTAATTGCTTAGAAGTCGCCCTCCCCTCCATTTGAGGCAGGATAGTGAGAAGCCAGGAAAATTCCTTGGCAAGTGGAATGGGGAAATTGAGACAGATAGCTGATTCAAACTGGCCTCATCTAGCACCCTGACTCACCTGCCTCCTTCTCCCTTGCACAACCACTCCTCCCTTAAGCATTAAGCCCTCAGGACAGTGAGGTTCTGATCAGCATCAAATAATCTTAGGAACAAAGCCTCAGGTCTGTTGACCACACAGACAGAGTTTTGGTCAAACTAGAGGTACCACCTAGGTCTCAGTTGTGTTACAGCTCCAGGCCCAGAAAAGTAGCAAAACCAGACCAAGCTATGCCCTGGCTGACATCAAGACCAGATGCAATGACTGATGACCCCCTACCTTGTGCAGACCAATCAGTACAGACCATGACCCTGACCCTTTAAGCTCATTTTGATGCATCAGTATATTAAAGAACACACCTGGAGAGCTGATAAATACTGTATTGAGATCCTCCCCTGAGAGCTTCCCTAAAGTTCCCACCTTTAGAAGACAGATAAAAACTCTTAAGACAAAGGACTCAATTTTCAGGTGCGCCATGTAAATACATAGAAACTTTGCAGCTTGTATTTTGCCTGCTTTCCTCCAAAGGTATCCATTTTTGTTAGTCATTCCTTATAATTTGAAGAAATGCATTAAACAGCCCCCTTTCCCCAAAGAACCCAGCCTTTACCAGAAAGTCACAAAAGTCAGTCACTACTTAGAAAACGCCATTTACTTAAATGAACTGTTACCTTGTATGAGATCTCAAAGTTTTCGCCACCCCAAATCTGGAGACCTGGATCATACAGACCCAGTTCAAAGAAGAATTCTCGTTCAATGGCAAATAATCCACCAGCCATGGCTGGAGACCTAAGAAAAAGAAACACTTTAATAACTATTAAAGACAAACCCCTTTACCAACATACAACAAGCCCTTTTGAAATACAATCTAAATAATGCATAGAAGAGGCAAAACTGATGGCCAAACATTAAGAAATTATAAAACCTTTGCAAAACAATCCGTTCATAATTCCTCAATGAATTTACTGAAATTTCTAACTGAAATAGAATTATATACATACAGTTCATTACAAATTAGAGCATTGCATCATTTCACCATTAGAGGGAGACTTGGTTCCTTTGGTGATTTAAAAATTAAGCCTTTAGATTTAGTCAACGTAGAATTCTCTCTTTCACTTCCTAAAAATACTGAGCCATACAGCCCTGGTCTGCTAACTGCTCCTGCAATGATTCATGAGTCATTACGGGATGAGCAAAACCATACACCATGGAAGTAGTCTGTCATTTTTTAATTTTATAGCTCAGGGGCTTGCCAAATAAGGGTATAATTCATCTTAGAACAGTCACAGTTCATTCAGAGTTTGCAAATGTAGTGCAGAAATGACACAGGAGAATTAGACACAGCTCTTCACTGTGCCAGGAGGCAGGCTGTGAAAGGGCGATCTGGGCGGCTTCTTGAGTGGGATCTTGAACTTGGTACTTTTTAGGGACAAGAGAAAAAAGATGTGGTAGCTTTTCAGGGACAAGCCACTCCCATCATTAGAAGAGATAGGGGAATAATTTGTATCCTGTTGTCTACATCCCCCACTTCGAACAATAAATTATTAATGCATCCTGACTCTTAAGATGCCTCTATTAGGGTACCTTTTTCATCATCACACCTAATATCTAATCTTTCACCAATTCCTCTTAATTCTACCTTGAAAACATACTTAAATCTGTCTACTTCCTTCCAGCTTCACTGCTACTGTCCTAGACCAAGGCACCACTGCTTGGACTGTTACAGTAATTTCACAACTTGAGTCCTGTATTCTGTTCTGCCCCCATCCAGGTCTAATCACACAGCAGGCAGCGTGGACTCAACGTGGGTCCCAGGATGCTGGCCTCTTTCCACCGGGAGGCTCTGCTGGCTCCCTTGTCCAGAGTTCTTCACTGCTCTGTTCCTGCCTTGAACTTGCCAAACTCTCTTCTGTCTCAGGGCCTTCACCTATGCTGTTGTTCATGCTCCTGAAATGTTCTTCCTCCTCCCCCATAGGGCTGACCCCGCATCCTTCAGGCCTCAGCTCCAGTGACACTTGGTCAAGGAGGCCGTTCCAGATCCTCCAGGCTGGATGAGGTTCTCCTTTCCCTAAACTCCATTTTTCTTCCTACCACATATGGCAGTTGCTGTTCCAGTTATATGTGTAGCTTTCTGTTTAACTTCTGTCTCACCCACTATACTTTAAGTGCCGCGAGGGAACCAGTCTTTTAAAAATTTATTCCCAGAAAATAGTCCCTGGCACATAGTAAGTACTCATTAAATATTTGTCAAGTGGATAAATAATGAATCAAGTAATATTATCAATATTAAAGAAAAATCACATTGGGGCAGAGTTATTCTCTTAGGCCCTTTCTTCTTAGAGTATACTGCCTAACTCACTAAACATTAGCACTATTACATTTTTGGTTATATTTTCATGTCACATTTATTTAACTGCTCTTTAAAATTACTCTATTATAACTCTGCCTTTTTGATCTTTAAATATATTCCCACTTATCTCAGTATATATTTGAAAATGTATCTTAACATGAAAACCAGTGAGTTCTTTAAAGGGAAACCTCCCTTAAATTTTTCTAGCCCACTTCAAAAAAAAAAAAAATCTTTATTAGCCTATGGACTTGTCAGAAATAAAAATATAATCACTACCCTTCATTTTTTTTTTTCTCCCAGAATTATGTTAGTCAGGTAAGTGGGTAAGCAGTAAATTCCTAAACTATTTTGAAAAAGAACTTCAAAAGGAAATTTGGAAAATGTGGAATCAAGCTTAAAGTTCTATAATCCCCTTATGTTTGGCCATTTCAGTATCTTGATATGGTGCCATGCCCAAATCCCACCAGCATTTGCATGAGAGTGGAAATACCTTCCCCAAATTGAGTTCTAATATTATCAGCAGTGTAACGGAGAGAGACCAAAAGCAGAACCATAAGATCAGAAAAATAAAATTAGACACACTTGGCAGCCTACACTAACATTTGACCACACATTTCATTTGGAGTCACTCTTTGAAAGACAGTCAAATGTTCCAGTTAAAAGACCCCAAAAGAATAGAACAGCTTACATTGTTCTATTTGAAGAGCCACAAGAAGGACAAAGGCTGATTCTGGAATACAGTTTCCTTTTAATCAAGTGCTCTTCTCAGAAGGAAGCAATAAAGAAGCCTATGTAACATTTGCCAAAGTCATATATTTTTATTCATCAGACTTAACTGTTACAAAATTAGTATTTAAGAGTTAGCATATAAAACAAAAGGAAGAAGAAAAAATCTCTTGCTATTGCTTTCATTGCTAACATTACACCCAAGGCACCAAAGTGCATATAAAACATGGATTACAAATAATTTATAAATTGTCAATTTACAGAATAATTTTTCTTTTTTTCACTTGAATTTGGAACTAATGCTATATATCAACCCCCTCCTCCCCCCCAAAAAAAGTGGATGCTGCATTTAGGGAAAAAAAAAAAAAAACAATTACAAAGAGGCTAATGTGAGTTTAAATCTGTGAAACAGTGTGAGGAAAGAATTCTTCAGAATCTAAAACAAGTTTTAGTAACAAATGTTTTAGCTTGGCAAGAGGTTAATAGGTTAGTAGCAACTGGAGAAAAGAAAAACATGTAAGTGACTTAGTGATTACCGATATGGTTCAGTTTTTGTTTTTCTGATTCTCTTCTCTTGAGGGGTCAGAGGCACCCGTTTCCAGAGCATACTCCAATCCCATGCTCCTCGGGCATACCCATCTTCGTCACCACCCCCTTGGGGTATAATTTCGTAAGTGTTGCCATTTATGACATCTATAATCGGCACAGTGCAAATTGTTCTGTATTTTGTTGATGATGGTAGCAAAGATGAAATGGAAGGGTAGGCATGGACCCACACAGATATACGAGTACATGGGGAAGGAAAAAAAAAAGTACTTAGATAAAAATTCCACAGAAGAAAATAAAGGAGTAATCTTTACCGATAAGGTTCAGTTTTATGTTTTCTTTTGGCCTTTTCCTTGTGGCTTAGAGGAATGCGTTTCCATAGTAAACTCCAGTCCCAGGCCCCTCTGGCAAAACCATCTTCATCCCCACCTTGCTGTGGTTCAATGGAATAATCATTCCCATCTATGTAATCTATTAGAGGCACAGTACATGTAGTTCTGAAACATTTACAGAAAATGAAAAAGCATTTAAGAACCCAAAACTGACTAGTTTAGCATGCCTAGCTAAATTATCTTTTTGTAATTGATTTTTTTTTTTTTTGGTTTGTTCGTTTGTTTTTTGCACTAGGAAACTTAAATATCTAATGTGAAGTAGAAGTAAATAAATGTGCTATAAAAGTCAGGAAGCCTGTTTTCATAAGGAAAGGATAGAGAAGACTTATCTCTCAGCTTACAGACAAATGTCAGGGACAAAGAGCCATGTCTTTTAGCTTAATCGTGTTTTCTCATTTTCACTTTGGTCCTATAGGCAACTTTTTCTTGGTGGCTTTGTATTGCTTACAAGATTTTCGTGCCTGTTACTTTTCCTCTATAATCCTCCATTATAAAATAAGTTTGTGTGTGCGTGTGTATAAAAGGAAAATACCTGCTACATTTTTAGCAGTTCTTCCAACTCTTTGTTGCTTTCTATTTCCTTGGAAGTAGTTATTATGAAAATCTTTTTCTTGATCTTTTTTCCTACTCCTTTTTATTGCAAAAACAAGCTTTCATTGCAAAAAATAGTACTGTATTGTATTCCTACCTTTTTGGAAAAATGAGGGGGAAATATCCCGCAAAACCTAAAGAACTTAAATGTGGCCTGAGAATTTGGAACAACAAAAATATCCCTTGTATTTGACTTCAGGGATATGCTAGTACTATATGACTAACTACAGAGCCAACTCTACTAAGATAACTTTGCCCCCTGCTTGTCTCATTGCGCAGCTTATCAGACAGGACTTCCAGGGCATTTCCTAAAATGGAGATTGCAAGCTTTTCATAATCAAGTTATCGTGCCTTTTAGATGTTTAGAAACCAAGGAAAGGGAGCTTAAGGTTTTGATACGGTGGAAGTGGATTTCAGAAGGGTGTGTCATTCCCTCCGGAATTACTCCCATAGGAAAGTGGAGTCACTGTGGGAAACGTGGGATTGCCACAGAATCCTGTGGAAAACCACTTCCTTACCACTTCCTTGCCCAGAGGCAAGCTAGTTTTCACCTGGAGAGGTGAAAGTCTGCTCTCTTTCCTCACTTCCCATTAGTCTCAGATTTCTTTATAAATGCTGCATTGTAAGGTATCCCAGAGAGATCTCGTTGGATAGTTTATTAGTTGTCTGATTTGGGGCAAATTAATTAACTTCTCTAAGTCTCAGCATCCTCATCAGTACAATGGAGCTAATAATACCTCTCTTGCAGGGGTGCTGTGAGGATTAAACCTGACAGCATGTAAAAAATTGTTTATAATAGGCCTTCACATTACATCTTCTGCTGATTAAATCCTCCAAAGGTCTTCCTTTGACACATGCCATTCACCATAGGGCCATGTCTTATTTGCCTAGATTCTGAACTAGTCACATTTCTGGACTAAAAGCAGGGAAGGTTTGGAACTAGGAGATAAATGCTGCCTTCTATGGTTTCAGACATTTCTGTAAAGTTAATGGAGATCATTACATTTCCATTGAATAGTCACTTATTTCTAAATGTTAAGGTTTCTATAGGATCGCAAAGCCTTGACACAAGTAACAACTGCTCCTTACTATTCTAGAGGAATAATTACAAAGGGCATTAAAAAGACCAATACGCATAATTTCAAAGCTTGTTCCTTTAAATCTTTAGAATTGTTACTATGCTGTAGAAGGAGCAATTACTATTACTCTTAGACAAAACTTTTGGAGCTAGAGGAAGTCTCTAAACCACAGATGATTCTCGAATCAGACACCCTACACTTATCCCAAATGCCCAACTGGTGCATCTGAATCAGCCCAAAGTTTCAGTCTGGCTCCACTCCAAGAAACACCTAGTGAGTGATAACACCTAGAACAGAACAGTTTGATATGTTGAATTGAACTGGAATCAGAAAAACAAGAATGTTATTTGTCCTTCTACAAGGAGGTTTACTTTTCAACCAGGAAAGCAAAAAAGCAAGGTAATGTTACCTGTCCTTAGAAATGGGAGCTACAAGTGGTGCATACCAGTTAACTGCCACCTCACAGTGGGCATCAAGGTATATCAAAACCTTAAAAAAAAAAAAGAGGCAGGGTGAAAGAACACTCATATATGGTACATCATATATCATACACAATTTAAAATAGACGCTAACATAAGTTAGCATTAGAGTCAATTTTTACATATAAGTTTTATCTGTTTAGGCCAGCATTTTCATTTCAATTAAAAATAAAAGGTACTTAAAAATGCATGTGATCATTTAGTTACCAAATCCAAAAGGATGGCATTGTAGATAATGGTAAAAAAAGTTTCCTACCTGTCCAAGTTTAGCCTTCTGGGCACCAATGCTTCGTGCTTGAATTAAACCTTCTCTTCTCTCATTTCGAAATACCTTCACCAGGCCATTCCACAGCTTAATATAGTCATCTAGTTGTTTTTTTAAGTGTTCTGTGAATAAAAATCCAATCAGCATTATAAATTATATTTATATATATAAACCAATTGAACTTTTATTTTTCTCAAGAGACAGGGATAGGCAAAGGTATTTTAGGCAATGATTTTACACAGATCAGATGAAATGTTTAATCTATAGGGAAGTAAGGTGAAGGTGATTATTTGGGTTAAATTTTGACCTTAATATGCCTATAGAGAACTGGTTAGCCTGAGAAGGATCAAATGTGTCTTTAAACATTAAATAAATGATGACTATGCCAACTGACACAAAAACTTAAGCATTTAAAAAAAAAAAAAAAAAAAAATTAAAACCTGCCCTGGCCGGTTTGGCTCAGCGGTTAGAGCGTCGGCCTGTGGTCCAGAGAGACCCAGGTTCGGTTCCCGCTATGGGCACGTACCTCGTTTGCAATTTGTCCCCGGCCCTGGTTGGTCGTGCAGGTGGCAGCCACTTGATGTGTCCCTTTCACGTCGATGTTTCTCTCTCTCTCTTTCCCACGCTACCTGAACAAAAATGGAAAACTGTCCTGGGGTGAGGATAAAAAAAAAATAAAACCTTAAAAATTCACGTTACTCTCATATCTAAAAGCGTTCAGGGATAATATTTTGTTTGCTTTTGGCAGAAGCAATAGTTCAGGATTTCTGAAGATACACTGCTTATAACTAACACGGTATGACTTGGGAATCCACAAAGGATATAGGTAAACATTTGTTTCTGGGCCCTCCCAGTATCCAAGGTTGTGGTCTTGGTGTAACGAATATAGTTCCACTCAAGTTGGCAAAAAACAACGGAAAGACCCCATTTTCTCTGCAATTTAAGCATGAACAGGAGAATGTATACATATTTACAAATAAATATTTACACATTTATATAATAAATAATATATTTGCAATTAAAAAAAGTTTTTTTTTCTTTATTGATTTTAGAGAGAGAGAAGAAGGGAAAGAAAGAGAGAGATATAGAAACATCAATGAGAGAGAATATCCACTGGCTGCTTCTTGCATGCCCCCACTGGGGATTTGGCCCACAGCCCGAGCATGTGCCCTGACCAGGAATCGAACCAGCCACTTCTTGATGCATGGGTTGACGCTCAACCACTAAGCCACACCAGCTGGGTGGTATATTTGCAATTTGATAGAAAAAATTTTGTGTTATAAAAGAGGATACATTTGCCAAAGTTTCCATCTTGGCTTCCCAGTTGCAAGAAAACAGTTTTTATTTGTATCACTATGAGCCCATGAAACTGGCTCATCACAGCCACAACTCACTCCTGGGTCCTTAAAAATCTCTCGTGGACACAAAAATTATCAGTAAATTTTTAAAAATTCTGGCAAAAAACAGATGGAAACATAGCTAGCTGTATTTAGTGATGAACTAGTGGTTAAATGGGCAAATCAGACTGTACTTAATACTTGACTCATTTTTAGGGAACTTATAATTACCAAGACACCCACACATGAATATAAAAATTGTGAAGCAAAAAATTTCCCTTTTTCTATTTTGGCATCCAGTTTTAATGACAATTATAAACAAATCCTCATAATTATATTTCCCTCGCAGAAAATCTATTTTCCCTTCACCTTAAATTTTCTAAAAACCTCTAACCTTCCTTTTTTTTTTAAAGCCCAATACGATCCTAAGTTTTTTTGAAGCCCCTTCTGAATTGCACTAGGTACTTTGCGTATATGCAATCTAAATAAATCTGTTACAAATTTTTACGGCCAAAAACAAGTTGATGGCCTGTTCTTCACATTGAGATGCTTTGTAAAGACGGCCCCAAAGGGAAGTTGGTGAAGCAAATGACCTCTGGTTTCTTTGGGACCTTGCACTATGGCAGACTGTACTATATTAATGTTCAAAGTATTTACCCCCTTTCCTTGGGGGGTGATTATCTTTCCTGACCCACTGATGTCAGGTTGGGCCATGGGATTTGCTGTGGCCAGAGAGAAGTGGGTGGAAATGACTTGAGGTACTTGTGAACGGAATTGTTGAAATCCCACTAGTGCTTCACCATGTCTTGTCTTTTCCTCTGACCATTAGGTAGGCAATGTCTGAGATCAGGCTGTTCTGCCAGCTTGGGCCCTGAAGTGAAGATGTAGGGCAGAGCAGAGCCGACCTGCAGGGAACGTACGGTATGTATGAACGAGAGATTGGTGCTATAATCCTTTGCTGTTACAAGCCACTGACAGTGTGGGGTGCATTTGACCTTGACCCTACTCAGCCTCAGTTGGCTGATGCACTTGTGTACAGGGGTGTGTTCTATTTAAAGGCCCAAAACCTTGTTTTGAGAGGATACTCTAAGTTCCAGAAACCCAAGTGCAATGAGCAGCCAACTCCTTTGTGAGGTTTTGTATTAGTAAAGCATTATGTCTTTCAAAGAAAACTTACAACTCCATGTTCTAGTTTCTGAATCTATTGGGGAACAAACCAAATTTTCACTCCAGTCAGATCTACCAAAGATTACTTACTTTTACTGAGAATGGGACTGACAGATTTTAAGGTTGCTCTGAAATTGGGAAAATTAATTAAAGATCTCGGTACCGCTGTCCTGAATGCTATAAGTTAAGCAGCCCCTGCAGGTGATTGATTTGGAAATGTGTTATACAACATTAAATATTAGAGGTTTTTAACAACAGAAGCTCTGATTACAAAAAAATTTCAAGTAAAATGGACAAAAAACACTTAAATCCAAAATTTTGTTTTCCTTTTCTGGGCCCAAGCAGTTATTTTTGGTATATCTTCACAATTTTTTTTTTTAGACTAAGATTTTACTTATGTTAATAACACAGGGCTTCTTAAAATCAGAACAATCACAGACATGGGATTTCTCAGTCATTTTTATAGATTTAGATTTTTCAAAATCTAAAATATTGTTGGTACCAACAATATCACTGTAAAACATATTTTTAAATACAGGGTGGGCAAAATAGGTTTATAGTTGTGAGTATGTAAAACAGAGTTTTTTCTTATATTATTATTTATTAATTATCATATTATTTTCCACATGAACAACTGTAAACCTACTTTTACCCCATCCTGTATTTAACTTGAGACAGGGATAGTGGTTTTTTTTTTTAACCTTTCTTTCTCTCCTTAATCCTCACCTGAGGATATGCTTCCATTGATCTTCAGAGAGACGGAAGGAAGGAAGGAAGGAAGGAAGGAAGGAAGGAAGGAAGGAAGGAAGGAAGGAAGGAAGGAAGGAAGGAAGGGAGGGAGGGAAACATCAGCGTGACAGAGAAACATCAAGGGGCTGTCTCCTGCACATGACATGACCAGGGATTGAACCCTCAACACAGCGCATGTGCCCAGACTGGGAATCGAACCTGCAACCTTTTGGTGTGAGGGACAATGCTCCAAGCAACTGTATTTTTTTTTTTTATCCCCACCCAAGGACATTTTTCCATTTTTTTTTTTGTTCAGATAGAGTAGGGTGGGAGGAGAGAAAGAAAGAGACAGAGAAACATCAATGTGAAAGGGACACATCGAGTGGCTGCCACCCGCATGACCCAACCAGGACTGGGGACAAACTGCAACCGAGGTACATGCCCTTAGCAGGAACCAAACCCGGGTCTCTCGAGACCACAAGCCAATGCTCTAACTGCTGAACCAAACCAGCCAGGGCACCAACTGTATTTTTGTTATTTTTTTTTTATCCTCACCCGAGGACACCTTTCCATTTTTTGTTCAGATAGAGTGGGAGGGAGAGAGAAAGGGAGAGAGTGAGAGAGAGAGAAACATCGATGTGAAAGGGACACATCGAGTGACTGCCACCTGCAGGACCCAACCAGGACCAAGGACAAACTGCAACCGAGGTACATGCCCTTAGCGGGAACTGAACCCGAGTCTCTTGGGACCGCAGGCTGATGCTCTAACCACTGAACCAAACCGGCCAGGTCACCAACTGTATTTTTATTTTTATTTTTTTGGTATGTGCCCCTAGTGGGAACTGATCCTGGGTTTCTCTGGTCCACGGGCCGACGCTCTAACCGCTGAGCCAAACCGGTCATGGCAGGAGCCCGCTTCTAGACTTAACTGAATGACTTTAAATATATATTTTTTACGAGATTCCAAAATGGCGTTGGAGTGAATGGAAGCTACACAGACCATCTCCCAGGACCAAACTGGAATAACAACTAAAACACAGACAAATCGTTGGGAAAAAGCAACTGAAAAGCAGCTTGTGAGGACCATATAACCAGGAACACTGACTCGATCCTGGTAGGATTATGGAGTTGCGAGAGGGAAGCTGGTAGCCCACAGACAGCAGCGGCCTTAGCTGTGAGCAGCGGCCTTGGGGGTACACTCCCAAGTGGCTCCATAGCACAGAGCTGGGACAGACGCTAAAATAGCCACAGCCACTCACCTTGGGCTCTGGCAGAGGGAAGGCGGACTGGACAGGAACTGTATGGGGACACTCGGGATTTGGAGGGCACTCAGAGTTTTGCTGAGTTGCCGCCACACAGGACGGTGGCCTTCTTACTCCTTCCCAGGGCTCTGGGGAGAGTCAGCGGCAACTCCCTTGGAGATTCAACCCCACCCGGTGGGCCGTTGAAATGCAAATTGAGGCTCATTAACCAGCATTTGCCCCACCCTCAGGAAATCCCCTTACACTTAGCACCTGAGGGAGTTTTTCATTCAACTGAGAACCCAAGGCTCTTCAAGTAACCACTACTGAGAGCCTTCAGGCAAAAAGCTGGAGGATAATTGAACCATTTCTGGGCTAGCAACTCTAACCAGGAAAGTAAGACTTGACAGTGGTGTTTAATATGGGTCCTCCCTCACTCATCCAAACTCAGGAGAGGGAGCCACAAACAGCAGAACACCAACACCCACAGGCAAAATTTGGCAGGCTCCAAAGTCCACTGTGATAGCCAAAATGGTGAAACAAAGAAACAAATGCCAAATGAAAGAACAAGAGACCTCTACCAAAGATGAGAGAAATGAGGAGCAGTTAAGTAAGTTAACAGAGCTAGAATTCAGAGCGATGATCTTG